GCAATAACGCATGCGTTACTCGTTACCAGTAACGCAATAACGCATGCGTTACTCGTTACCAGTAACGCAATAACGCATGCGTTACTGCGTTACCTGTAAAGAAACGGTAAAGCGCCACCCCTACTCATGAATATCTTCCTCTGAACTCAGCCACAAAACCGACTCCTCACCTTATCGTACTTTAGAAAGTCTCCTTCCACTATAGCTGGCAGTAGGAACTTTTATTTCGCTGCGAACTTGACTTTTGCAACTATTTTTAAATTCTTCGCGAATGCAAAACTATCCCTATATGGGCGAATCTCAAGAGATCTCATTTTGTGTTGGTCACTTTTCATTTTCAAGATATGCTCTATTTAAAATCGAAAACTGATTATTAAAAGAAAGAGATCTAAATTAGCGTAAAAACAAGACTCTTGCTTTTACGGTAATTTGACTTCTGTTATGGTAACAAAAACGTTTCTAGATAAAATAATCATAGTAAGGTTGTTTTATTCGGATGAAAGATGTAACAACAAAAATACGTTACCTTTGTACACAATTATAAGTTACAGAAAAGGAAGTCCGCAGTAAAACTGTATGAGTATTACGAATAGCCTCTGTTGGTAGTATCTAAGCTTGCAATGAGTCAGATAAATGAAACGCGGATAGCAACATACCAAAACTAGTGGAAGAGTATGTGTTTCTCAGTGAACTCAAAATCTCAATAAAACTGGCCATTCGCAAATAAGTTGACTGAATATCTTCCATATCTTTTTAGTTTGTACAGGAAAAAATGATTAAAGATTTTTCGAACATCACTGCGGAAGAAGGAAAACAAAAAGAAATCAAAACTGTGTCAACACCAATAGTTGATGAAATAAGTATTTATGACATACGTACCAAATCTCAGCGTAAAATTATCTTATTTTGAGCATCATTTACGGCTATTATTTTGCCCTTTTCTAACACTCTGTATTTACCAGCAATACATACTATTGCAGAAGACTTGAAAACAAGCGATAAACTTGTTACTCTTATGGCGTCGATTTCTCTTTTATTTCGTGGTATTAGTAGCCCTATATGGGGTGTTATTTCTGATCGGTATGGTCGAAACTTGACAATTCGAACTGGTTTAGGATTATTTATTATATTTTCGATTGTTTGTGGTTGTGCACCAAACATAACAGTTTTACTTATATTCCGTGCATTACAAAGCATTGCGGCATCTGTCACAATGGTTGTTGGACAAAGTGTAATAGCCGATATTTATCCTCCTGATAAACGTGGGTGGGCTACAGGTATTTTTCTTGTACCAGCTTTATTCGGAGTCGTGTTGGGACCCATAACTGGTGGTGTACTGTCTTATTTCTGCGGTTGGAGAAGTACGTTTGTTTTCTTAGCTATACTTTCAACTTTTATACTAGTAGTTTATATGTTAATTATTCCGGAAACCCATCAGTATAAAGTTCTTGTAAAACATTTAGAAAAGAAAATAATTGAAAGTAAAGATATTTCAGAGCCGAAACTTAATAAACCATGGTTACCATTAATATATTTAACTGATTTAACAATTTTACCGTATATGGTATGCACAACCGTATTGCTTGCGTGCATGATTATTAACGAAACTTTGTTAGCAATTTTATTAGCCAAAAGACCTTATTTCTTTAATGAACTAAAAATTGGTATTTCTCTTATTCCCACTAGCGTAGCTACGGTTATTGGGAGCCTTCTTGGGGGAGCATTATATGACAAAGCAAATCATTACTATACAAACAATGTACCGGAAGGTCGACTAGTACCAGGAATTATAAGTCTTGTTTTGATTCCATTTGGACTAGTAATTTTTGGCTGGGGATTGTATTTTAGATTAAGCGTTATTGTGCCAGTTTTAGGTTCCACTTTAGTAGCATTCGGACAAACCGTATTTCGTCCAGCAGTTTATTCATATTTAACTGTGATAAGGCAACAGCATGCAGGAACTATTACCGCTGCGAATTATTTTTTAAATTATTTTATTACAGGGATATCTCTGTCAGTGGCAGTATCCATTTATCAGGCAATTGGTATAGGCGTGTTCTTTACAATTCTATCTGGTATTAGTATCACCGCCATTATACCAGTTTGTGTATCGACAATTACGAGAATAACATCATATAACAAAAACTATCAGCCAATATGATCATTGCAAGTTAATTTTTTCTCTATTGAAGACGACAATTAGCATTCAATAACCGTTGACTGAAACATTTGTGTTTAATTTAATCTTATTTATTCAAAGTGAAAATGAACTATTTCTCATTATAGTCTTCGTGTAAGAAAAGGAAGGAAAAAAGAACGAACGAACATCAGTAAGAGCTCATGCATGAATTCATCGAGAATACTCAGAACATAGTCAAACATAAAATTTTCTGAAATCAACCTCATTCGCTTCAGCACACATTTTTGGGGCTAACAAAATTCTTTTTTCGACCGGGAACGGTCTCTCGGCTGACGAGGGGACATATGTAAGTGTCCCCTCACTTTTTCAACGAAACATAGTGGGTTATAGGTTATCGATGATGCTGATTCCGAATATGAATATGAGAGCTTCCCTTAGGGCTCCGAAGATCCGGTTTTCTGGAAAACCAGTTTTTTAGAAACTCTGAAGAACGCCCAAAGCTCTTCTTAATAAGCCACGCTTGTAGCCCGCACATTTCTGATTAAAATGAGACCTCTCCCAACTCTACATGACCTTTCTTTGCAAAGTTATAGAATTTACAAGAAAAGCCCTAAATATTCATTGTCAACTCGAAGCTACAGAAATAAGAAGAAATTAATTTAGGGCTCTTCGTGTAATTTCTATAACTTTAAGCAAAGAAAGGTCATGTAGAGCTGGGCGATGTCTCATTTTAATCAGAAATGTACGGGCTAGCTTCGGACGCTTTTCAGAGTTTCTGAAAACTGGTTTTCCAGAATACCGGGTCTTCTGAGCGCTAAGGGCAGCTCTCATATTCATATTCGGGATCAGCATCATCGATAATCTATAACCCACTAGGTTTCGTTGAAAAAGTGAGAGGACACTTACATATGTTCCCTCGTGAGAACTAAATTTTCGAACATGTAGACTCCTTATTTTTGTTCAAAAACTGCTTGTTTTAGTATTAAGATTTAGACGCAGACGGTTTAAGTCAGATTTTATTGAGTAATATACCATTCGATAGAGAGTCGAAAACTGAACAAAATGCGCTATTTTGTTTTTTTTAAACATTTGCTTATTAACTGAAGATAGAGTTTTTTGGTTTTTGAAAAAATACGAATTGCTGTTATAAAATGTGAAATGAAATTTCCAAATCGAACCAGAAAGCTTCAAAACTAACTTGAGTTTGTAGAGCAGATAATTCTACACAAGATGCATTTGTTTCGATAGTTTTAAAAGTTTCGACAGGTATTGAAAGTATCGAAATAAAGAGGACCGGCAGAAGAAAAATTTTACTCATTCATTTCTTTTCAAAGCTCGACTGACGCAATTATTTCTATTTTTACGACTGAAATCAGCCTGTCGACGATGACTTACCGATGGTTTTAAGAAAACAAAATTGATTTTAGAATGGTTTTTGAGGAGATCTTTATGAATTTTCTGCCTGTACTGTTTTGTTCTTCTGCCTCTGTCTTCCTGCATCGTAACACATTGCTCGAATAGTGTGTAGAACCGGTGGCCGTTCTTGTCCAAGACCGTTTCTGCTCTTTGGCGCATGGAGTCCGTCCTACAGTAGGCGATATACAAAATATTTCTGGCAACATGATCACACAGTACTCAAAAAAGTAGTGTTTCGAGTCTTCTTCGCTATTACCTCACGCACACAGTTTTGTACTGATAAAGTTACATGCGATTAGTTAAGAAAATATTTTCAAGTTCTAATCTGATGTTCAAGTGATTTTAGATTTGTCTGTCTTGAAGTCGGTTTCCCTCCCCATCGGATGAGGTATTGCCTGAATTTTATTGTGAGTCGTTATTTTACAAATAAGACTTTAAGCAAATAGAGTCAGAAACCGAAAAAAGTTTTAGATTTATTTCTGTGATCATCAATCTTCATACATTTCTCTTTTGATCGATGCCATAACCAAGATTTCATGATGAATAGAGAACGAGGAGGAATTTGTTTAACAGCACCCCGGACTGAAAATTTTCCAAGTAATTAATGTTTTTCTCAGCCATATAGTGCTAGTACGCCGTAAAAACTCGAGCACATATACTTCGAAGTGTGCTCTTCAAACTCAAGAAATTTCAAGAGAAAACTGAACACTTTAAAATTTCGCTAGGCTTTGGCCGAGAAAAGAGTTTTAGACAGTACTCACCGCTGATTTCGGACAAAGCAAGCGTTTGCAAACAAAACTCGGAGTACAAAAGTTGTTCAGAATTCAATCCTGGAGTCCTGAAGAGAGCCTTCTTCGAAATTTTTTTGTTTGATTTTTATATTTAATTTTACTGTTTTAAAAATTTTAAAACTTTTGCTTTCTAATTTATCTTGGGGACTACGGGATTGAATTCTGAATAACGTCTGTAGTCAGAGTTTAGTTCCATAATGCTTG